GCTCTTCCAAAACATAATTGGACTACCTTTTAGAGACTTTATACAGCACTGATAAAGCATAAGACAACCTGACAGGTAAGAGGAAAGATCATAACTTTCAGTTCTGCTTACTTCCCCAAGCTTTCCAACTGTGACTTTCAGAAATTCTTCTGTGTACTTTGTGTCCTTTCACCTTACCCAGGCAGCCCCTACTGAACTTGAGAGAACTTTCTACGTATTTCCCAAACCACAGTCCTTCTGTACAGAGCTATATTAGACTCATTCTCCAGCCAGTAGTTAAAAAACAAATCATTGCTAAAACACTAAAAACACCTTACATGCCCTTGTGCATTTTTCTTACCAATTTGTACATTTAAATAACATCAGAAGTTGTCTTTTGCTAAAAATTTACCAAAATATTTTAAACACATAAAAATGTAAAAACCCAAACAAACAGAAAAACAAACTGAAAACAAAAACCCAGCAAACATTGCTTGTATAGGCATTGGTTAGAAGAGATTGCTGCACTAAGGAATATATTCAAAAAAGTTTTTCTTTCAGTTTCATTGGATTTAGTGTCATGAATTGAATGGTTAAGGACAATCACAGATCACAGAATGTGTTAGGTTGCAAGGGACAATGAAAATTATTGTGACCCTAACTTTTACGATGTAATAGATGAGCAGGAAATCTGAAATGCAATTAAAATAAAGCCTCTTTTTTTGTAATTGAAAGGTGACTGTACAAGCTTGTAACTAAAGAGGCAACTGAAATATGAAAAGAGAAGAATTTGAAGAGTCTGTAATGAATTGGACTTGAAGACATCTACCAAGTAATGGCTCCAGAGCCATTTTGGAAAGCTGGCACTAACTGAAATTTTGAATATAGCCCTTAGTTGTATCATATTTATTTAAAATTTAAAAGCTGCCCAGCATGTCACGAATGAAGTTTAGTTTGCAAGTCACCCACTGCCTAAGCGGGCAGTAATACTCAATATGAAACTGCTGAAACTCCGGTGTCTGGCGGATTTCGTGGAGAAAAGAGATTTGAAGGTCCGATTCCAAGAGAAGAAGTAGAAGAGGGAACACAAGCAACAAGAGTCCAAGGCCTACAAGCAGAAGTCTGGAGAAACTCTTCACAAAGGCATTTACTTCAATGTTGCCCATTAGAAAGTCGTAGCTCCATCTAAGTGCTCTCCGAGCTTCTTTCAGTTCTTCCTCCTCCGCAATTAAAAATGCATTTTCATCTGCTTCCAGTTCCTCAAATGAATCTGTATCATCTTTCTCATTCTCCACTCTTGGACAGGTATCAAAGAGCATGTCAATCTCATCATCAACAGGGGTGGGCAGCAAGCTGGCACTAGGACTGTATACCAGTTCGGAGATGGTTAAAGGTTCCTCTTTCATCTTCTCCTCCTGTTCAATGGCAAGATCAACATCCGCCCCAGTGTCCTTAACCGGGGAGCTCGAAGTCACAGGTACAGAAATTTCATCTTCCTTTGGCAGCTGGATACCTGGAAAAAAGGAGATAAAAATAGTGAACCTACATTTCTGCCTTCCTGGTGGCAAAACTCGACCTTCCAATAGTATCTAAGACAGGGGAAAAAGAAGGCTCTGCAATCATTTTGCATAGAGAAATAGACCATACACAACGGACAAAAACTGGTAAAGCTTTTAGAAAAGTTCCAGAGGAGGGCAACATCTTTTGCAACACTGTAATATACCGTAACTGCTTCACTTTGTCTGATGCAGCTACCACTAATAATGGTGCAATGCAAAACAGAAAACAGAACAGCCCATTTTCCACTGGCATTCAGACTTCTGATAAAAATGAATACTTAGAACATATGTGGATTGGTGTTATTTGGTGTCCAATAATAATGATATCAGCAATAACGTGCCATCTTTATTTCTTTGAGACAAATGAAGAGAAAGTGGTAAAATAATGGCTGGGGCTGGGAATTTTTAATAGAGCATGACATTAAAAAGAAACAATAGGTTGTCATGGTATTAACAGCACTGAGGCTAATCCAAATGCAACATATAGATAAGGATACAGCATGTAAAACCAAAACAAAGTTACATGACTTGTCCAACCAGTAACTCCAGAAATTCACATCAAAGTACTGCTTATAATTCAAATTAGCCCAATTCTTTGGTTTCACTGAAAGATCTCTATAAAAGATCATGAACTAACATCATCAAAGATTCATTCCAGTTTTAGCGCAGTAAGGATTAAGGGTCAAAGTCTTTAAAACAATGTGGTATAAAAGAAAATGTACTATTACAGAAAAATGACTAATCAGAAAAGCAGCATAAATGCTGTGTTATTACACTAGACATATGATGGTTCTCACCCTTTAAAAAAGTGTTGGCAAATTCTATCAAAGTTTTCTATTAAACGATGTCAAACATATTGAAAAAATATTAACTAAACAAAAGGCCCACTACAGTCATTTTGAGATAAGGGAAATAAAGCATGATCTGAACCATGCCATAAGGAATAGATATATATATATGAGACTCTGTAAATATATGATACAGTACAAAAAATGAAAGAAAAATCCCGTCATAGAGATACCTACAATATAAGAAAATGCACAAATTAGATGCATTTTGGATCACACAATATTAAATAGTAATTCAACTATAATTGACCAAAATTCTGCCCTTTTCACATTTTTTCTTGAAAATATATCTTTTTTTTTTATATATATTATTAGCCCTAAGAACTGTATATAGCATTCACCATACTGAAATTATTAACTTTGTTTCTGAAACCTACTTCCCTTCTATTTGGCTGGATAACAAAAGAATATGCTTACATCTTTGGCTACTGGTCGCTGAATGAGTAGTAGGCATAACTACACTACAGTCAAGTTGGTGATACTTACCCTAAACTTTCTCAATGTTACAAATTTTACATTTCTTGAATGGCAAGATCTTACAATCTCTATTTTCAATTTCTTTTTGTTTTCCTCCTTTTATATCTACCATGACTACTATGCTCAAGACAGGACATATCCACAAAAATCTTATAACTGATACCAGATTTGTCCACCATCAAGTCACTTAGCAGTAGACCTACCTTGAGCCAGTCACAGGCACATGATCATACTTCTACCAGAGCCCCAAATACGTAGTATTTGCAGACAAATCTGCCAACTTTTTAAATTAAATTTAGCAAGCAGAGCAGTATTTTGCAAGATGAGGCTGCTGTGCTAGGAATCTTAAAGCTTGTTACGACAATTCCTCATGGAAATAACTGCCTTACTATGCCGCTGTATTCCAGAGTGCCTTTCAGTTACCACAAAACCCTCCACTCAGCTTCTGCAGCTCTGTTAGCATGTTCGCCACACAACAGAAAGGATAGGTAAACTACTTGCTAAATCATCCTAGGTTACAGACTTCCCAAAAACTGAGTGAGCAATGGCTTGTTCGTACCTAGTAACTAAAATTATACTGAACCTAATAGCAGTTGGGATGAAATGCCAATAAATGCAAAACAAAAAAACCTACTGCAAAGGTTCTAAAAGATTAAGAACTGACAGAAAATATGCACTTTAAACTTTATATTAAATCACTCCCTGAACATGATAGGTTGCTCCTTACCTAACAAGACAACTTCCTGAATCCCCTTCCTAGTCTCTGCTTTTGTGTGTCATGCTATATTCATTACAGAAAAATTCTTCATTACAGAACTCCTCCTGCGGAGTGCATTAGCTATTAAAATTTATTTCACCATTTAAGTCTTGAAAATGTCCCAGACAGATCTCTCCCCCCATAATTTGTTCTCTTTTCCTGCTCCCTAAGAGATACACTGGCCATGCCTCCAGGTGAATTCTCACATTGTGGCTAAATCAACCAAGAAGACCATTTCTGCTTGTTCTCATTTCATCTCTGAGCAAGTTAGCTTGTAAAGCTAACCCGGGAAAATATAATTTTTCTTCCTGCGTTAGTTCTCTGATAGTTTTCTTTCCTGAACTGGGTTGTCAGATATTCTCATGAGCACAGCACATGAAAGAGAGTGGAAAGGAGTGCTCCTTTCACCAGCACCTAGCCAGAAGATCTGCACAGGTGAAATGAAATTTTGTCCTCAGTATAGAAAATGTAGATGTCTCCTCATTAGCTTAAGCTGACTGCCTAGAAAATAATTCCTTACCTCAACTACTCTGTTCTCTCGCATCAGAGCCATTTTAGAAATTCATCACATTTCAGAAACACGTTTTGTGCTGGAACTTACTGTCTACACCAGTCTTTGCATTAACGAATATACTTGATGCCACAGTCATCAAGACAAGGATATAAACTGACTTAAACTCCACACTACAGTATACAAACACTGAAAGGTGAGAACAGATTTGGGGTGATCTTTCCCCTAAGAATACTGTAACAGCAGGTAATGCTGGATGATCAGGCCATACTCTGAGTCATTTGGGAGTGCACTCACGATATCCTAAAATATAAACCCCAAAACTTTTCAACTGTGGAGTCCAACATTAAGCATCTACAGATATCTTTAGATACACAGGTACTACATTTTGATTTTCAAATGTGCTTTTCACCTTCTCTTAATAGGAGCAAAATGTAAGTTGAGCCACTTCCTTAGGCACCTCCATATGGATTAAAGGACCTAATTTTAACCTGCCAAATTTGAGACTCTTGGCCATAGGCCTCTCTATACCTGCTCAGATGCAAGGTCAGTAACATATCTTCATCATATTTCTCATAATAGAGAGGACAGCTGCAGCTACTGCAAAGAAAGGTCACCCCATTTTATGATTCTTTAGCCTTCTCTCCTTCCTGAGAGTAAATTCCTGCATGCATACCATACATAGTGAACAAAAAAGACCATACTAACTTTCACTGAAACTGCATTTTTTCTCAAGTTACTGGCAAACCTCTAACTTTATGATTAACCTGTAGATAAAAGGCAGCAGAGGAAGCTTTTCAGATCAGGATTTTCTGAAGTGGCTGTATTAAAACTGGAATGTACCGCAGTTCCGAAGCATACACCAACTTTACAGTCCACCATTTAGTTTGAGCAAATAACAAGAATTTTCAGCTGCTTTACATGTTGTTAAAACATATTACATCATCAAAGTAACTGCATTTTACAACAGCCAAATATAAGTGCAAATAAATATTGTTTTAATACAAAAAAAATCGATCGGGCATTAAATACTGCTGTTGCAAGTCCATTTGATACTTAAAAAATTAAATATATAAAGCTTCTTTTCTTTCTTTCATAGTCCCTACACTACCACAATATTTCTCACGTCAAGGACTGAGGAAGTAATTAGCTATTAACCACGGTCAATGCAAGCCCACAATGATCCAGTCATATTGTAACACAGAAGTAAGTATGTTGGGTCACTCAGATCTTGATGGTGTAGGAAGACACAAGTGTAACAGCATTATGGCATGTGTCACTTACAATGCTTATGCAGGCATAAGAATATTGTATTAAAGCAGTGAAATTCAAAATAATTCTTCGGTACAATAAATACTCCAGTGACATAATTTTAAGAAAGGGGCAAGTCTTTCAAATTATTTATTTTTTGGATAGCCTGCAAGAGAGTTAGTTATCTAAAGCAATAAAATCAGAAGAGTTAAAGAAAATTTTAAAAAAAGAAAGAAAAATTTAAAAAAAATCCTTAAAATCTTCCAATGGAAAAAGAGAATAAAAGAGCTAAAGAAAATCCAAAGCCAATATTCTTTAATTACTCTACTACATTGCTACAAATCTTTTGCTCCTATTCATACATAATGATTATTTTGTTACTACCCTAACAAGGCTTTTATTTCATATATTTTTTGGCTAGATTTTTGAAAAGCCTACTGTTTCTTTATCAATTGTAACAATTTTTATCATGTTTATATTTAAAGGACCAATACTTGAGTATTAAATTACATTTGAGAAGAACAACTTCCTTCCACTCTTTATTTTATATTTTTATCAACAATTTACATTCCATAGATCAGAATCTTTTAACACATATTACTGGAATATCAAGTAAATAAGCTCCATTTTATTTCTTATATATCTACAGCAAAAAAATTCGCCACACTTTTCTGGCAACTGGACAAATTTTATGGGAGTCAGAGAGATCTCAATATGCTAGCCAAAATTCAGTACTTCCACCAAATACTGAGATTGCTTCAAACCTCTAATTTGCTACAGCAGATAGGAACATGAACAGCTGAATAAAACACGAATTTACAGTGGTCATCTGCTGTAAACACAAATGTGCAAGAGGCCTGGCATAAATGTTGTCAGCTGCTGCTTTTTCTAAGGGGTCCAAAACCAGCAGCTGAAGATTAGCAGGATGAAGAGCAGCTCTTAGTCTCACCACTCTTAAGAAACTGCAGATGCTGGAAATAAAGCACCCCAGAAAAATATGTATCCTCTGCTTATTAAAAAAATTCAGTTCAGACTGTCTGGTGGCTGGTAAGCTGCATGCAGCTTTACTTACAAGTCAAGGAAACACAATTACACATCTGTAAAGGTTTTGTGTAATGGAGAAAGGAACAAGTGTGAAGATTTCCATCTTTTAGACGGAGGACTGAAAAAATTAGACACGATCCAGAAAAAGCAGTGCTGGGAATACTTCATATAAACACATAAACGAGTAAGACCAGCCAGGCTGCAAATAGTACAGTTCCTTCCTATCCCTTTTACTACTTCCTCTAGAAATATTGCATATTCTGTTGCTTATTTTCAACATACGTAACATTTATTTGTACTATGAACTGAATGATCTTTTAGAGGGAAGGAGAGGGTGACTTTCTCAGATGACAGTGCACATGGATGTCACAAAGAAAATGCAGGAAAGGGAAACAGAACATAGAATTGCACCAAACCCAAATATTTCACTACACAAGATCTCTATCAAAGCAGGATCTGCATCACAGCCAGATATCCAGTCCTTAGAAGCAGGAGACCATAGATCCCTACCTTACATCCTGTGGCCAGAGAAGACACCTGTTGTAGCTTTGCAAGGAGAGTATATCAATGACAGTTCATAGCAAATCCTTTTTAGGCAGTGACCTGGCTTTCCTGCTGGCTCCTCCCATTTGTTTGAGTCTTACAGGAACTTCAGGAAGGGAGCAAAGCCCTGTCACAGTTGCCAGCTCACACCAGCTGCAAGCATTGTGACCCTGCAGCCTTACAACTCACCTCTCAAGTGTGTTGAGTGTCACCATGTTCAGTTAATATCACAGCTACAGCAGCCACCAGAGAACCCTGTCCTGCTTTCCACATGCCACAAAGGGCACCCAAAGTGCTGAGATAGTAGCAAAACAGAGCATGCAGCACAGCAGGTGCCCTGGGGTGCCTCTCTCCAGCCTCTCTCTGGCCTGGAAGGAGCCCAACCCAGCATTGCTGACATCCTTCCAGAACCAGGATTAAGCAGCAACAAGGCTGAGGGGGAGTAGC